CACTATATAATACACTCCACATTTTGATTTATATTTATATAAATAAAAATAGGTTTATTAATTAACACAAAAAAAAAATATTGGCTAATAATAACTAATGATAAGTAGCATGTCTTCTTCAGAGTCATACCAAATAATAATAAAATATGTTTCCTTAATATTAAAACATTGGATTCATTCATTGAGTGTTATAATTAAACAGAAAAATTCGTGTTTTTTATGAATAATAAATACCACAATGAATTTTTGTTACAAAAGGTGAAATTCCTTTATAATTTTACAATACAAGTGTTGTGTACTAACTGATAAAAGTTGTTTGTCCATAACAATATATATTTTAAATAAAACATGATGCATTGATTGGTTAATATGAATGTCTTGAAATAATCTTTTTTTCTACACTAAATATATTAATGACACCTTTATTATCATTGTCATCATGATCATCATTATCATCATCATCATTATTATCATTATTATCAATATTTTCAATGCCAAGAACAGGTGAATTTTCTTTAATTGGCAACAATGATACTTTTTTATCTCTTTTAATATTTATGATTACATTGTATAATCTGGTAATAATGTTATTGGCAATAATAATTGAACTAGTTATCAAAGTTAAAAATGGAATGAGGTCATATGATATTATAGAATTTTGATAGATAACCTAAATAAAAATAATAAAAATGTTAATATTCATATGATTCAAAGAGTTAATTATAATTTAAATGACCAACCTGAATAATAAATTGTGGTATATCTTCAATAAAAAAATTTGCTAAACTGCACCAAAATATTAATGATAAAGAATTTGATGAAAGTGGTGCAGAAAATGGTTTCAATCCAGCCATTTTTGATGATAATATCAACAATGTATCAACTTCTGTACTTGAAATTACTGTAAAGATTGCCAGAACGTTTACATATTTTTTAAACCATTCATAGAATTCTTGATTGTTACTGATCTCTTTAATGACTATAAAAATGCTTGATATAGAATTAAATATAATTGATAATATCAAGATAATTATGCTAAAAAAATAAAATTTTAAAAATCAATTAATTTATCAATTTATCAATTATCCAGTTAATAAAATTATTAATAACATACCTTGGTATAATAAATAATTGTGGGATCTTTTTACCATTATTGATTATAAATAAAATGTCCAATATAAAATCAGCAAGAATCAAAAAAAATTTCAAAATAACAATATTGTTACCCTAAAAATTATTAAATATTTATTAGCATAAATACAATAAAAATAATTAACATTAATTAGATGTTATGTACCTCTGGATATTTTTTGTGTGAATACCCAATCAATATTATTATAATTATAATCATTATTGGAATGATTATTAAACCAATTTTAAACTCTTCCAAAAGGTCATATAAATTTCCTATTAAATAAAAATATATTTGATCAATATTGAATTGCATATATAAATCATATTTATGTTGTATTTATTACTTGAAACTATAAATCCATAATTCTCATCAATGAAACTTGTATGATTGTTTCTTGATATTCCAGTGATGAATTTATTTTTAATCAATATGTTTAAATTATCTAAGATTTGGGCAGCATTAATTTCCTGCAAATCTTCTTCATTGTTATTAGATTTTAAGATTTTATATGATAACAATAAAGTAGATGGTGAAACTGCATAATCCATTTGATCATTAATGAAATACAAATGAATTGGATTGATTGGTATTGTATTAGCTAATCCAATTGTTAAATTCTTAATGAAATTTAATTTGTTTGTTGAATCCAGACTATTGATTAAGTTTGTTCCTTTGTAATTGAGTCTCAAATTACCATTTACTGAATCTAATTAACAAATTATTAATTATTAAAAAAAGGTTTTATTAACTTAATCTAAAAAATTTATCAAATATTTCTTTACCTGAATATTGAATTTCTGGATTATCTTTAGAGACAATAAATTTGTAAACATTTTGATAATAACACTTTAATTTATTCATTTAAACTGATTCGCAATTATTTAAATAAATTTACCTGTAGTAAATTTCCACACATTTTCAAGAATTCCTGTTAATGGTTGGTCAGTGGAA